CTGCCTCGTCTTCCGTAACCTCTTTACCTCCTATACATACTGCTAATGGTACTCTTATGAATGTTACTCACACTGGTTTGATTTCTTCCCCTTCCTTGCATCTTCTCGACACATACTGCATTCCTGACTTGGCCTTAAATCTTATTTATGTTGGTCAATTGGTTGACCAAGGTCTTAATGTTATATTTTCATCTTCTGGTGTTCAAGTTCAGGATTCACAGACGGGACAACTTCTCGGGAAAGGTCGTAAGATGGGCCGATTATTTGAGCTTGAGTCACTTCATGTCCCTCGTTCTTACACTTTTTCTGCTTCTGCCACCGATAGTAAGTCTAGTTTCCAGTGGCATCTTCGTCTTGGGCATGCGTCTTCGAATAAAGTTCATTCTTTATATAATAAGGGTCTTTTGGGTTCAGGTCATTTTGAGTCTTTTAGTTGTCTTCATTGCAAACTTGAGAAACAACTGACTCTTTCTTTTTCTGATAGTTTGTCAACTGCAGATAAACCTTTTGGTTTGGTACATTCTGATATTTGGGGTCCTTCTCATGTTGCTTCTCTGAGTGGTTTTCGGTATTTTGTTATTTTTGTTGATGATTATTTTCTTGTCCTATAAAGGTCTTGCGTACTGACAATGCTCTTGAGTACAAAGATTCTACTTTTTTGAAATTTCTTTCTGATTGGGGCACCTTAGTTCAATGTTTGTGTCCATATACTTCCCAACAAAATGGACGAGTTGAACGTAAGCACCGTCACATTCTTGATATTGTTCGTGCTCTTCTTCTTTCTGCTCAGTGTCCTGATCGTTTTTGGGGTGAGGCAGCCTTGACTGCTGTTTATGCTAGCAATCGGTTACCCTCATCAGTCATTAGGGATGTCAGTCCTTTTGAGAGGTTGTACGGTCAGTCTTCTGATTATACTCATTTACGTCCTTTTGGTTGTGCTTGCTTTGTTCTCCTTCCGTCCCATGAGCGGACCAAATTAGAACCCCGAGCTCATTTGTGTTATTTTTTGGGTTATGGGGTAGAACACAAAGGATTTAGGTGTTGGGATCCGATTTCTAATAGGTTGTGTATCTCGCGTCATGTTACCTTTTGGGAGCATACTACTTTTTCCTCCTTGTCTAAGTTCCACATTCCGTTTGATTCGGCGTCTCCTTTATTCATGTCTATTACTTCAGATCTTTTTCCAGATACAGATACAGGTTCTGACTCTCAGCTCATTGACACGCCTGTCATGCCTCCGTCTTCTGAAGTGGCTCCACCTGTGCATCCTGAACTGACGATTCTTAATGAGCCCTCTTCTGGTTCTGTACTTTTGCCAGCTATTGATCAGCGATGGTCGACTCGTGTAAGTCGTCCCCCTTCTCACTTACTTGATTATCATTGTTATTCGGCCATATTATCTCAGGTCTTTTCGTGAGGCGAGTATTGATCCATTGTGGCAACAAGCTATGGCTGAGGAATTGCAGGCCTTAGACAAGACTCATACTTGGAATCTAGTTGATCTATCTGCTGGCAAGAAACCCATCGGATGCAAAGTTTTACAAGATCAAAACAAATTCAGATGGGTCTATTCAGCGCTACAAAGCTCGTCTTGTTGCTAAGGGGTACTCACAGGAGTATGGCATAGATTATGAAGAGGCATTTTAACCGGTTGCTCGTCTTACTACTATACGCTGTTTACTTGCAGTTGCTGCAGTTCGTCGATGGTCTCTTTTACAGTTAGATGTTAAGAATGCCTTCTTGCACGGTGCATTATCTGAGGAGGTTTACATGACTCCTCCTCCTGGGTTCTTGTCCTCTAGGAAGGTTTGTCGTCTGCGCCGAGCTTTGTATAGCTTGAAACAAGCGCCTCATGCCTGGTACGCCACGTTCAGTTATGCATTGTTTCAGTTGGTTTCACTACGAGTGATCACAATTCTGCCTTATTTCTTCGGCGCTCTTCATCTGGGATCATTGTTTTGTTGCTCTATGTTGATGATATGATCATCACAGGGGATGATGTTTCGGGTATTTTCGACTTACAGAATTATCTTCGACAACATATTGAGATGAAGAGTTTGGGTCGTCTTCGCTATTTTCTGGGTCTTGAGATTTATGATTTCTCTGATGACTTCTATTTGTCTCAAGCTAAGTATGCCTCTGATCTTCTTGCTCGGGCCGGTCTCACTGATTGTTAGACAGCTTCTACACCCCTTGATTATGATATTCGCCTTACTCCATTGGATGGTTCTCTTCTTGAGGATCCTACGCTATATCGCCAGCTCGTTGGGAGTTTGATATATTTGACTGCCACTCGGCCTGATATAGCGCATGCTGTTCATATTGTGAGTCAGTTTATGGCTGCTCCGAGGACCACACATCATTCTGCTGTGTTGCACATCCTTCGCTATGTGAAGGGCACCTTATTGCATGGTTTACATTTCTCGTCCAGTTCTTCCTTGTCCCTTAGCGGCTACTATGATGCAGATTGGGCTGGAGATCCTACTAATCGTCTCTCTACTACCGGGTATTGCTTCTTCTTAGGTGATTCACTTGTCTCTTTGGCGCAGTAAAAAACAAACCTTGGTTTCCCGTTCGAGTGCCGAGTCTGAGTATCGTGCTCTTGATGATTCCACTGCAGAACTATTATGGTTGCGTCGATTACTTGCTGATCTTGGTGCCCCTCAGTCATCCTCTACTGCTCTTCATTGTGATAGCCAGAGCGCTGTCAAGATGTCTCATAATGATACGTTTCATGAGCGTATCAAGCATATTGAGATTGATTGTCATTTGATTCGCCAGCATGTTACCCATAGGACTGTACGACTTGTTTCCGTCTCCTCTTCGGATCAGATATCGGATGTCTTCACGAAGTCTATCATTCCCGGTCGCTTTTGTTTCCTTCTTAGCAAACTCAAGTTGATATCTACTATACCACCTTGAGTTTGAGGGAGGGGTGTTAGAATATATTTTGTATATATCTTGTAGGATTAGGTTTAGGGTCATTATGTTTCTATATTTATGTGTACATGTCTTGTGAATAATATAGAACATATATTTTTCCACTTTCTTACATTGTTGTATGGTTATCCCCAAATAAACTCTCTGGTGTTCCATTCATGCAGGACAACGATAGAAATACTTACCATAATTTTTTTTTCTGTTTTAGCCATAAAATGATACATCCGCCCACAACTGCAGGAACACAATGGAGGCTCATGAACCATGGCTAAATAAACATTTGTGATCAATGTAAAATTACTATGATTTTTGTGTTGGTGGAATACACCAATTTATAGGTAAACAAATTTTGGGTGTGTTAAGCATTTCCCTTTATTAGCACTTCTTCATTTTTGGCGCGCACTTTACCAGCTAGACCTGCTCACATAACACCAAAAGAAAGAAAAAAAAATGCAAAAGAGAACCTGAGACAGCATGAGCGGTAATGGGAAATGGTAT